ATTGGTTCCCCGGTTCAAGAAGAGTTTCTGAACGGAATATGGGAAGGGCAAGTCATTGTGCTGGCTGATGGATGTTGCAGGCCCACTTACCGTGACTCGAGCAGCTCGCAGCTCCCGCGGTTGTAATGCCTTGCCAGGATTTTGGCCTAGTTATATTTGAAAATTTGGCCGGTTCCTATAGCGTGAGCTGCAACCTGGCAGTTAGCGTCATCCCGACTCTTCGCTGCTGTGTGCTCGGCCATTATTATCCGGAATGATCGCTCGGTATCATCTACGTAATTATGTTGTCCACTACTCGTTATCTTGTCTGCGGGTAAGGAGCACTCCACGGTTGTAATGGACATGACAAACTAGATTCAGAAAATTAAAACCTTCTACGAGGATCGTAAATCTTACGTCCCATGAGTATCCACAAAAATGCTAACACGCGTAATCAACACGATTCTCTTGGCAATAGAGAACTCGGGTACACCATCACCGCTCGACGAATGTATGGCGAGAGTGCAAAAAACGACTCTTGCCCCATTCGATGGTCTCCCAAAAATGCATAAAAAGGGCATTCCCCCCGGTCAGTCATTCACCAAATGTCAAACGACTGGTGAATGTTCCTTAATGTGTCCTGTACGTGTCGATTGTTAAAATTATCTCTCTTAAGAGATCAATCACCAGTTTTCTACAGTTTTTTTCTACTCCAAAGCGGACTTGCCAGTTTCACAACTCGATCGACGGAAAGGCGGCCCTCCTCCCATAATGGTCATCTCCATGCCACGCGAAGGCACACGTTTTGATCGAAGCGCTCCGAAAAGTGCATGACAGGTGCTCGAGTTAGTTCAGTCTGCCTGTCTGAGTGTGTTTGCGTGCGCTCAGGCGCATGACGCGTCAGCGTTATAAATTGTCAACGCTGAGAGGCTCCAGTCTGTAGGCTCCTGCTTCAGATCATGTGGAGACCAATCCTACTAGCGACTGCTTTAGTGCAGCTCGCTGTTCTTGGCCTGGCCTATACAGAACTGAAAAATGTAGTTGAGGAGACTAACATCAATAGCACGGACTATGATGTGGTCGTCTTCATTTGTGACGAGTTAACAGGCAATACTGGTGTTCATGACGGCATTCAAAAGGCAATTAATGACTATCAAAAGGTGAGTACCGGAGTAACTGTCTCTTGGTTGTACCTTATTGCTGATGATTTTTATGTTTGCATCCTTTTTGCGTAGTGAACAACAAATATGACTGCTTAAGCTACCATTGTTTAAGAACTGTCAGTTTAAGAAATAAGGACACGAACTAAAAGTAGAGAAACTGTAAAGATGACCTTTTATGGTCCAGGATGAAAATTCCTTTAGCCCCGTATGAGCAGCTAATTCGTCAGTTATATCTTGAGCGGCAAATGTTCCTTCAGCATAGGCTTCCAGTTACCATATACAAGGATAGATAAACGATTTTCACAAGCCTAATAATACTTATGTTTGCAACCGATGAGATAACGGGTCGGCTATAAAAGAAAAAAATCTTGGACTTGACACTCAAGGGCCGAGGATCCCGGGTTCGGACTCCAGGTTATTCCAACGTAGGGTTCATGTCTGACGATGGCTATTTCGCCAGAAATTGTGATCCTTTGCTTAAGAAGTAGTTCTTCTGGATGAATGCCCGCTAACATGCCCATGCTGTTTCCGCTTAAGGTTTGCTGCTTAGCATAGTTATTTGTACAGTCGATATTCTACCCAGGGGACATGACTTGGCGGCAGAAACAACTGTTTTTCTCGTTGATCTCATGCAAACATATCTACCCAGAAAATACTGACTACTATAGTTGTGGAAATAATTCTGACACAAGAATAGCCCCTCCAAACATGCAGTATCATATATGCATGACTGTACTGATTCATACTTAC